TAGGGCATATAAGAAAGAAGAGATCAAGGTAATGTGGATGTTATTTTTAGCTCTTGTCCCTAAAAATAGATCTCCGACTTCACTATACACCAGGCGAGGCTGCCTCGAGGCTCCCTGAAAGTTGCTTCAGTGGCTGGAAACACTGGGAGGTGCCCCAGGCCAGGGCTGTCACCGGCCCCTCCTGAGACTGTGTCGGGCTGGGATCAGGCAGGCCTGCACGCTGCACCCGGACAAGCACCACGGCCAGGTCCCAAGCAGGAGGGTGACCGAGTGTGCCGTGGTTGAAAGGGTTTCACCAGCTGTACCTGCGTGTCCTCCAGAGCAAGCGTTTGCCTGGGGCCTCCTCGAGTCATCATCGACCGGATTAGGCGCCAGAGGACTGAAGACGACAGGAGACACACACTCCCCACGATCCAGACGCCTTTTCTCCTAAGTGTGGGGTCCATTCTCTGGAGTAGCTTTGAAGTCCCTCGGCCTAGGGGTGCAGGCCCTGCCCCATTGACCACAACCACTTTCTAAGCGTCTGTCCCGCTGTGCTCTGAGGAGTGGGTGTCTCCACACAGCAGAGGATTCCTGCAGTCCTGCAGCGGCTGTCTCCAGTTACACCATCAACGCATATTCTCCCTCTTAAAAGGAAAAATACGATGGGCTTACGTGACAGATCCAAGACAGGTGCAGGGCTGGGGAGGCTTGCTGGCCACAACTTACACCAGCACACATGCATGTGTCCCAGTTCAAGGTCTGGTAGCTGCACTGTAATTGGCATTTGCTGCCAAGCTTGGGCCCCTGCCTGCCAGGGAGGTTTCTCCTGTCCTTGTGGGGTGAGGCGCAAACAACGGGACAAGCGAAATGCAACTTTAAAAAAATCACAAAACCTCCGCCCTTGGCCGTGCTATTTTGAGATCTCAGTCGCATTCCTTACAAATGCTGCCTACAAGTTCATAGCAGTTGGTCAGGAAATACCATCTGGAATTAAACTCACCCACTGCAGTCAAAATAGGGAGCTCTACGCGTCACGCAAGCCCACTTCATCCCTTTGCACATCCTGTTGATGCAGATTTGGTTTGGTTTGGTCTCTGGAGCTTTGGGGCCAGACACTGAAACCGTCCAGGGATTGAGAGGAATGCCTCTGTTAGGGTCATCTTTATCTCTGTCCCTGGACAGGATATGAAAGAATCTAAGCCTGCTTTAAAAAAAGAATTATTCCTTACTAAGGAAGACTTCTAAACACAAGTCAATGAGGATTAGGATAAACTCAGAAAGAATCCACTTAGAAGTTCTGTGAATAGAGCTGTGGAGCAGCGGTAGGGGGGCGGTTAACTTTTGGGGCAAATTTATTGCCTCCTTTGTTGAAATATGATCAAGGGGAAGCACTGTTCCATCCACCTGCGTAGTCTTTTGCTGAAGACTCAGCCCCGCTCTGGTGTCCCATGTTGTACGGAGCCAAAGACCGTGCCTGTTGGGTGGAGAGTGGGTAACCAGGACATATACAAAGCTGGGGAGATCAAGGGACCCAGAGATGAGCATGTGGCACCTTGGGTTGGTAGAAACACCAGGGTCACAAGCTGGGGGCTGGCCACTTGGTAGAGTTTACCTTGACCTAGCTGTGGATTCAATCCTAGCATCACAAAAACAAAGCCGGGATGTGTGTCACTCAAGGAGAAAGATGGTGAGAAGCAGTTGTCTAAGAACACTAGGTGGCATCCGTGCCTTTCCCTGAGCAAACAGGAGTGTTGTGTGTGAGAGAGGAGAGAGCGAGGAGGAGGGAGGAGCAGCGAGAGATAGCATTAAACCTCTGCAAAACACAACACTTAGGGACTAGAGAACTGGCGAAAGAAATAACTTAGGGCTGGGGTGTCGTTCAATGGTACTGTGTGCTCAAGCCCCTGGTACAAATTCCCAGCATTAAAATAAAATAAGCGTCAAGTCCTAAATTGGATTGCATAAAAGTAAACTAGCTATAGTTGTGAGAGCAGCTATTAAGCTTATCATCATATATGATGATTTTATTAGATTTTAACTCCAGACTATCGATGTTGAAATGTGGCTTATTATGGCACATGGTTATCTGGTGAAAACTTCTTAGGAATGCAGCTTTCATGTGTGAGGCCTTCTGAGAAGGGACATGGGGACCCAGAAAGGCAGCAGGGCAGAGACTGAGGGATGCAAATCCCAGGAGCGAGCTTCAAGTCCAGGCTTCCTTTGACAGCAGGGGAAAGTGGATCTCCTGAAGGTTCCAGAGGATGCAGCCAGCCTTTACCTGGGCAGACCTCGGGGTGAAGCGGGGGCTGGAGGAAAACAGAGGCAGTCACCATGCACTGCTGCTGCTGGTGAGGATGTAGTGTGGGACGGGTGTATGAAGGCCCTGCGTCAAGGAGGGCAGGGGCCCCACGGCAGCTGCCCGATCAGAGCAGAGTGTAGCCCTGCGGTAGGGAAGAGGGGGAACAGGGCAGGACATGAGGGACAAGGAGCTCAGCGACTTCACTCTTGGGCCAGGTGACCAAGAAAGATGGCCATCACTTCCTTCCTGCCCTTGGCTCCCTGCTTGGGAGAGGTTCATGCCACCCTTCAGTGTTTTCACATTTTGTGTCAAAGGGGGAGCTGGGAAGAAAGGTGAAAATAGCAGCAAAGAAGATGAGCCACAAGGCCCCCGGGAGAAGTAAAAACTATAAAATTCTATACTCTAGGTAGAAATGAAGTGATTTTTGAACATCTTGTGGAATGCAACAGAACAAGAAAAGTCATTAGATACCAAGATAAAATGGAAAATAGAAAATTAAAAAGAACAAGACCAAGAAAGAACAAAGTTTACGTAGCATTTAATAAAATTAAAAAAAAAAAAAAGAGGAAAGAAAAGTTAAAAATTAAGTTAGTGGATAAAAAACAAATGAAATAGAAAAAATCTGGTTAAAATGAGGGAAACAGAATGTAATTTGAGTCTTATTCAACTATTTTGACCTGAATAGAGACTGTTAAATTCGTGGATAACTTTTCTGCTCTTATGTCTAGAGCATCGTCTCTTGGAAGAACTTGTGCCTCAAGCTCCTGGACACAAGCTTTCCTGTCACCAGAGTGCCTCCCGGAAAGTCGGAGTAAATTTTTCTAGGTACCCAGGGAATATCTCTACTATGGTTAGTAGCACTAATCTTCTCAGAGAAGAATTCAGAGAGAAAGCAGGTGAAGGGGAAAAAGATGACAGCATTTTCTCACAGTCCCCGGCCAGGGAAGAGTAGCATTTTACAGATTTACTGCAGCCACAGCAGAAGATGGAGACGTGTTAATCCAGCTCTGGCTGCATACCTGTGGACACCCGAGCCCAGATGGCCAGGCCTGCTCGGGCCCTGGCCCCAGGCGAAGGACAGCTCTGGAGCCAGGCGGGAGACTCACGGAAATGGACTGCTGACTCTGCTGGGAACTTCTCCCAAAGAGAAACAAGAAGCTGAATGGGACCCACTCTGCTCCTCGTCGCTCCTCCCTCCCACCTTGCCCACATTTCAATGGAAGGCCAGAAGCCAGCAGGTAACAGAGAGAGTGACTCTCTATTACTAGTGTTCCTTCAGATTTGGACCTGTCTTCTGAAATATTCCTAAAAAGTATGTAACTTCCAAGTCATTGATTTCTAACATTCTGGAGCAGGTGGCAACAAGAAAAGTAACTCATCCTAAAAATGGTTATGTTCTAACTTACCATCATCTCATGCTTTAAAAATGGTTACCTACTTTAAAATTTTTATCAGAGAAGTTAGAGAAAAGCTATACTTGAAAAATCATAAAATTTATATAAATGATCATAGTTGATGGTTTCAGAGTTACAGGGAAGTTATGCAAGTTTCTCTTCTGTGCTCCACAGAAATTCATGAACCAGAAGAGAAACACCCCTTCTGTTTATCAGTTTAAAATATTAACAGGGCAATGAGAAAGTTTCCATGTCTCACAAATTTTGCTTATGGGAACGGTTTCTTTTCTATATTGAATGAAGTATTAACTGGCCAGGCAGGAGGCTGAGGCAAGAGGATGGTTTCAACCCAGGGGCTCAGGGACAACCTGGGTAACAGTGAGTCCCATTTCAAAAAATAAGAGAAAGAGAAGGAAAAGAAAGAGAGGAAGAAGATGAGGAAGAGGGAAAAGGAGAAGAGGAAGATAAATAGAAGGAAGAATATTAACTCATTGGGAGGACAGAGATCTCAAAAAACTCTGTCTTAGTGTGACTCAGGTTTTTCCCCAGGGCATTCTCTCATTCCTTATTCACTCTCAGTGAAATACTGCTGAGGCTTTTTACAAAGTCTGTCTCTCCTTGTATTCTGCGTCACCTGAGACGCCCTCCTCGCTGAACGGCATTTTGCAGTAGCTGGGCTAGGAAGGATGGTTTCCAGGGCTGCCTCACCAGAATCATTTGTTCTGATTATTAACGGTGATGATTCCCAGCCCTCAACCAAAGGGCAGAATTCATGTGAATCAGTCTGTTTGTATCACAAACCTTTTTGCTGCCTATGATGTGCCAGTGACCGGGAAAGCAACCAAGGATACAGAGACAAGGAAGACAAGGTCCTGATCCACAGGAGCCCTGTCTAGGGCAAGGTGTAGAATGCATTAAAAACCATTTGTGGGCTGAAGTACAGGTCTGAGCACAATGCAGCTCCATGGTGCTGCGTGGGGCCAGGGAGGGGCTTTTGCTGCCGCCGCCGCTGCCACCGCCACCACTGAGCTACAGCCCAGCCCACACAAGACTCACGCGGCAGCTCTAGGACACTACGCACAGGAGTGGCCAGTAGGCACAAGTGCATAGTCAAAGGCCTCCTAATGCTAACCAAACTCAGCTGAATAGTTCACATATGACTCTCAGTGAAACCAAGTATGATTTACCTAATCATATACCTTCTTCAGTTCTACCCACCAGCGACCAAATAAAACTTGAAAAGGATCAGAGATATGGCTCCATGGTACCAGAAAAGATAAGACAGAGCTGATACCTTCTAGGAGACTAAATCAGCACATCATTACCTCATTTTTTCCTGAGCTTGAATGCAGTTCACCAGAATTTTCCTCCAGAAAGCATTTCACTTTCTCCACCTCTTTCATGCACTGGAAAAATGTCACCTTCTCCAGCCCGCTGCTGCTGTAACACGTGTCGATCTCCTCTAAGCGCTTCACCTTCAGCATCTTGGTGGTGAGTCCAATTAAGCTACTCTCTGGAGTGTGGTTTTTGTTTCCCTGTGTCTCTGATTTGTAAATCAAGACACAGTTGTGACTTTTCAGCATTCCACTCTGGTGGCTGTAAAGAAATGAAACCAAGAGCACTGTCATCGCAACTCTCGGGAAACAATGAGCGAGGACTGGGGATTAACTTCTGGCCAAACAGAAGAAATCAGGAAATGCTAATAGCCACAGTGGGTTTCCACTGCTGGGACTTCTTGCTTTTCTTGGCACTGGAAAGGGAGCCCAGGGCCTTCCTACTGAGCTGCACCCCAGAAGTCTCGGTTTTTATTTTGAGGCAGGGTCTTGCTAAGTTGCCATATATTTCTGGCTAGACTTACACTTGTGATTCTCCTGCCTCAGCCTCCTGGAATGTTGAGATTATAGGTGTGTGCCTCTACACCTAGCTAGAAGTTTTAAAGGAAATTATGTTTTTCACTTTTTCCTACAAAAAAGAAAAAATACTAAGAAGCAATCTTGATTTCTACTGGGTGACTGTTTATCTCTCTCATTGAATAAAATAGTACGTATACTGTGAGAGAATAAAATCTACCACCCCAAATCCATCTCTTTGGCATATTTTGCTCTATGTTGTAAGTAGTAAATACAGACAGTCATTTCTCCTGAAAATCAATTATTCAGAGAAACTGCAAAGCTCTACAGACACAAGAATGGCTCTAACAAGGTATCGTTTGTTAAAAATACAAGGGATATCCACTGACAAAGGTTCTACAATCTGAGGTACAGGATCTCAGGATAAATCCTGAGGGCATTTCACTGACCTTCTCAAACCAAAAAGCTACAACTCTTGTTGCATAGGTCCTGCTTTACCTTGGTCTTAACCATCCAGTAGAAAAGTATGAAGATGAAATATAGGAAGTAAAGCCATGTTGTTATGTTGAGCTGTGGGGGACTCACGTCAATAATTTCTGACATTGCCAATTAAACAGAAGACCCAATGCTATTATGGGCTTCTGTACTCTTTTAGAATATTTTGCTGAGTTTACACACCTATAATATTCAACAACAGAACTTAAAAAAAATTGGGGTATAACTATGAATGTCCATTTTGTATCTGTGTATTCAAAGTGGTTGGGATAGATATATAGTTGCATTCTCTTAATGAATAGAATGATTTTTTCTAATGGTGTTTGTAAGTAGGATCACAAGTCTGCATCTTGTACAGCAATTAACCACTAAGAAGAATATATGCAGTGTATTATTTGTTGAAACTGTACTTTCGATTTGATTTGAAACTGTCTCATTGCTATATGTTTATCAATAAAACTTTGAAAAGAAAAAAAAAACAAAAAACAACAAAAAAAAATACAAGGGATATCAACATATAAGGTGAAGTTTTAATAAAAAGCCGTCACACTAGAAGACACAGTGCCGTTAATCCCCCTTCAGTACTCCCCTCAGCTTAAACACACGTATCTCATCATCCTTACCACTTCTAGAAGCAGTTCTGGAAGTCCTCTTTGTGAGAGATTTTACAAGATGTGATACAAAAGAAAATATGACTTTTTTTCTTTACCAGGAATTGAACTCAGGACCTTGAGCTTCCCAGGCCTACACTGTGCCACTGAGCTATATCCCCAGCCCCAGTAAAGAATGTGATGAATACTTCTACCATGTGCCATCCAGAAGAACAGCAGGCTTCTAAAACATTGCAGCGTGTTGTCACCCACCTTATTCACTGGGCTTGTACTGTGAAACTTCTAGCTCCTCCAAGTCAAAATGCCCATTAAAAGCAAATGCTTTGATCAATTCAGGACGGTGAGGCAGCCATGACAGTGAAACAAAACACACGAAAAAGGACCTACCAAACTGCATGAGGAAGTGGGCTGACAACGAGAGAAGTATGCCTGAAGAGAGGGGAGTATCTGGGAGAGAATTAATGGCGATGTGTCTTTTTACTGAATAATTTTTCAAATGTAAAATTTTACTGTACTTTTCAATTGCATCTTGTAATTTACATTGCTCTATGTTGTAAGTAGTAAATACAGACAGTCATTTCTCCTGACATCTCTCCTCCCTGCCTAGGAGAAATCTAATAACAGCGAGAAGATAAGGAAGGTCCAACCCGCGGCCCCCAGGCTGTCTGCACTGCAAGCCAAGCTCACCTAGGCCAGCACTCCCTCAAGGTGCTGCACTCAGCCTCCTTGCCCACACCCTGAAAGCGCTGCTGCTTGTTTTCTAAAAGCTCTGTCCTGTGGAGGCATTTGCATCTTCATTAACAGCTACTACTGAAGCGTTCCGGTTCTGGTGTTTTTTTGAGATACTTTCCAGGAAAATTAAGTAATGCATCAACCACGTAGTTCTGTTTTGATTCTAACACAATCACGTGTATGTAGACACACATCCTTCAGTTACAAAGACAGTGAGATAAAGAATGAGTTGAATCTGTGGTTGTTTCTCATGGCTTATGCCTGAGGCCCCCTAGTGGAAACTGTCTAAAAATTGTTTATTGAAACAATTTAAAAAGCATCTGTAATTTTTCTCATGGAACTTCATTTTCATAACTCATAAAGTAAAATAATAATGTTCAAACATATATTTTTAAGGTTTTTTTTTTCAGAACCAAAGACTGAACTCAGGACTCAGGCCCTTGTGCTTGCCAGGCAAGCATTATTCTACTGAGCTATCTCCCCAGCCCCCAAACATATATTTTAAATCAATACTGTATAAAATACTACATGCCACCTAAAGAATCAAATAAATCAAAACATAAACAGCATGAATTAGAAATTGACAGATACATATATTATAGATCATTTTAGCATTCGTGAAATACTTCTTGAAGGAAAATAATTATTTAAAGAGGAAAAGATACACAGAGTTGTCCTGAGGCAAACTATGACTAAAAAATAACATTTAATTGCAGGTAGTACTAAAGTTGCACTAGGAATTCACACACAGATTAACATATAAGAACAAATTTTACATGTACGATATAATCATTGTGCTAAGAAAGGGTAAGTATTAAACTCTACTTGAAGTTTGGTACATAGGAAGAAAGGAGATTTGAGAAGTTATAACAACATACAAAAATAATTACCACTTATAGGATGACATCATAGAGTTTGAACCACTCCAAGCGTAGACAAAAGGAAATTTGTGGAAATCAAGTTGACTACACAGGTCTCTGGTGAAAGTCCTTCCTTACTCTTGGTCAATAGAGCCCTTCTGCAAAGTGTCTACTACAAGAGGAAGTGTCCTTTCTCTCAAATGCCACTCTGAGCCCCTGTTTAAACTGATACGGTCCTTGATCTCATGTTGCTCAGCTGTTGCCATCTTAGTCAGATGGAGAAGAATATTAATTTTAGATACAGGCTTTTCAGGGTCCATGGCTCCATTTCAGAGGTCAGGTAAGGGGAGGATGAGCTGGGAACGCTGGATGAAATATCACCTTCCCCTTTGCCTCTCATCGGCGTGGCAGTGCTCTCGGAATTACAGGGCTGGACTCGTCCTTGGCAATCATCTGTCCCTCTCAGACTCATGATTATCTAAGCGCTTGCTCTCAGCTGGCAAGGTACAAGGTGTGGGAACACGCGCAGCTGGGAACACACCCTGCAGCAACGTGGGGTCTCCTGAAAACACGTAGCAGATTCATTTTTATTTTCTCAGCCTTTAAAGGTATTTGCAATGTCTCCAGTGGCTGATGGCTTAGAGAAAGGTCAAAGGCACGGCATCCAGGTAGGTAGAAGGAACTAGGATGAATGTTTCATAACTCTCTTCCTATCAATACTATGATTCCCTCCCGGTTTTCTGTTGTGGACCTAGAGAAGGGAGTTAGAGTGAAAAAAATTACCTCAGATCTAACAGTGGTGCCTTCCTACACTTACTGAAATAGAAGAAAAAACCCCTACTTCCCTAGAAACTAGAACTGGCATTACAGGCAATCGTCCAATTCTTCAGAACCCAGGCGGTTGTCACCTCTTATGCATGGCCTTTGCTGGCCCCTCACACTCCATCCCAGTGCTAGCCTCCTATACTCCTGGACTTTTTACGTTTTTGTTTGAATTCAAATCAGTATGTTCCACATAAAAATAGATGTTTTCTATCTTAGCATTTAAAGAATAATGCTGAATCTTTTTTAAAAGCAGAGTTATTGGCATTTTCTATGATTGAAGAACTTTGCTTTTCAGGAAGAATAACAAAGCAGAAGTATATATTTGTAAAAGATAAATCGTTCGACACGACTATTATGAAAAGACTGAGAGAATGTGAGGTTTCAAACTTTTACAGCCGTCACAGTGTGAGGTTACAATTTTCCAGGTGTGTAAAAGTGCTGGTAACATAACCAGCCCACCCAGAGCAGATGCACTGCGGCCCGGCCCTCCACTCAGACCCTCTGAACAGTGCCGTCTGATGTCCCGCACCTTGGCTCCAGAGCACTAGTCACAGGCTCCCGCAAGCCCACGTCCAGAATTCCCTCCTTTGCTATTTTTGTAAACAAACTTCCCCTGGAATACATTTAGACCTACAGAAAAGGTATTTCAGAGAGTTCAAAGCGCGTCAGAGCTTCCCTGTACCTTGCACTCTTCTCCCCGTTTTCAGCATCTTGTGTTGATGTTACACGTTACCATTGGTGAACAGAAGTTGACACCTTACTATTAACTAAACGTAATACCTCACTTTCTTGGGCTTTGTTCTTCTCAGTGTCTTTTTTCTAACCCAGAATGCTATGTAAGCATCCCCACTATATTTAGAATCAATAGGTCGGTGAAGGATTGCATGTGGAGTATGAAAGGAAGATACTAGACAAAGATGGTTTACAAATTTCTTCCTGAGCACTTGAAGGACAGAATCAATATAAAACGAGATGGAGAAGACCATTAGGAGCAAATTTGGAAAGTAAGGCAAAGAGCTCAGCTTCTGACCAGCCCGTTAAGTGTTCAAGTAGAACAAGTCATGGAAGTAGAACTCTGGAGTTAGGGGAGGGCTGCGAGTATGCAGTATATATTTTTAATTAATTATTAGACAACATAATCTTTGATTTTATCTCCTTTTCTTAGAAAAGTCAATTGAAAGAATACATTTCACTCAATTTCTAAAATTCAGTGGCCTTGGTCCAGATCCCTACAGCTACTGATGGCTTGAAGAACAAGTTGTCTGGCATAATCCTTGACCACAAAAAAAACCCAAATTACATGCATGTTCATTTTGGCCTCTTTGCCTAGCTTCAGCACTTAGGATGCCCTTTTGCTTAGTCTCATAGCAAGACCCCGAGCAGGTACAGCATCACATTTCTAGTACCTCCACAGTATTTTACAGTTATACATGTTTTCAAAATACCAACATAAGGAAAATAGTTTCCCACAGAGCCATCAAAAAGAATCCTTTGATTTCTTTGATTCTTTTCAAGGGATTAGCTGATGAAGGGGCTGTGTCCTCAGAGGAGCCACAGGAACAGGCACAGCAGGCAGCTGCCTGCTGACCGGTGTCCAACCCATGCTGGACAATGCTAATGGTTTCTGTTGATGTACAGCTTTCTGAGTGTTTCCAGAACAACAAGGGCTCACCTATACACAGAAGTAGAGAAACCACCTGGAATACCAAAATGCAAATGAAGGGTTACAGTTTCATGCTCTAATTGAACTTTCCTTCTGCCTTCGATAAAGGACCACTGAGTATGACCCACAAAGGAAAAATATTGGTCAGCTACACTTCACTAAAATGCAAAATGTTTTTGTGAAGCTCAGGGGCATAAGCAACTGACTGGCATGTGCAAGGTCTCGAGTTCAATCCCCAGTATCACAAAAAATGACCTGTATCCCAAATATAGGTGAATTTATAAATTCAGTAATAGGAAGATAAACATTCCAACTTTAAAAATGAACAAAATATTTGAATAGCTACTTCACCACAGAAGATACACAATGATTAGTAGGCATATGATATAAATGCTGAAAACCAGTCATTGGGAGATACAAATTAAAACTACAATGAAATAGTATTTCACACCCACTAGAAAAGTTATAACGAGGAAGGAGAAAAGTAAATGTTGAGGGGACTATGGAGAAATCAGAACTGTCATCAGACAAGTTGACAGGAATATAAAAGGTACAGGTGTATTGAAATAATACGACTTTGTTGTTTTTCTCCGAGAAATCGCCCCAAAAGAAATAAAACCACAAACACACAAACGCTGGCACACGAATGGTCATGGAAGCATTATTCACAACAGCAAAACCTTGGAAATAATACAAATATCCATCAGTCAGCTTGGTGAATGGGAAAACACAACGCACCCTATCCATACAAATGAAACACTGTTCAGCAATCAGAAGGAGTGAAATGCTACAGCAGGCGGGAGAAAGGAGAAATTTCTGGAAGGAGGAGCTGGAAGATCAGAGGAAAAAGAAGCTGGCCCTCCAAAAACCACAGAGCCTGTCCAGTCCTGACAGCTGGATGACAGCAGGGAAAGGCAAGAGGCCACACGCAGTGTAGGCTTTTGGTAGGCCAAGAGAACGCTCTAGAAACCACCAAAGCACCCACCTCTGAGGACTAATCCACACCCTGGAACACAGGCACTACAGAACATCCTAAACATCTCAAAGTGGCCCCAACTCCACCATAACTCATTATAATCTCATTCACATTTTGGTTTTGATGTCACCACCATCACCACCTCACCATCAGGCGCCATGACAGTTCCTCAAAGGTCCATATATACAGCAGGGAAAAAACTCCCCCTCCCACAGAAAGGAGGAGGCTTGCCCCTGAGTGGGGCACACTGTTGCCCCAGTCCAAAGACCTAATTTCTCCCTGAGAAGCCACATGTAGGCTCTGCCACGTGGCTTCTTTAAGTGGCCTGCTCCCACCCTGAGGAGCAGACCCTGGCTAAGGAAGCTAGGCTTTCACTCTACTTCTGTGTGTCCTGCTCGGCGGTTTGCTCAGGCTGCCAATCATCCAGGACAACTGCTATCCCTAACAATAAAAGTTGCTACAACAGGAATGCACAAGAACATGGTTCACACTAAGTGAAAAAGTCAGAAATGAAGACAAGCTGTATGATTCCATTTGTACGAAATGCCCAAAAAGGCAAGTCTATTGACACAGTCGATTGCCGGTTGCCTGGAGCTGCATAAACTATAAACAGAATTTTATTGAGTGAGGAATGATGGTCATGATTACAAAACTCTTTAAATTTCTTCAAACACTGCTGAATTATACACTAATGATGGGCAAATGTTACGCTCTACAAATTATTTTTCAATAATATCACTTATGAAAAGAAAACACAATAACATGACTAATAAAAAATAAGCTTGTTGAAAGAAGCGGAGAAAAAGTGCTACCAAGCAGTTCCTGGGCACCCATTCCAGGTGACCGCGGCCGGGAGCCAGGGAGATAAATTACATCCCACACGTACTGGGTCACCTGGGGCCACAGGGAAGAGGCGAAAATATAAGTGGGAGAAAGCCGAGGTGCACACACTTTTCTTCAGGTGCAAATACTATCTACATTTGAGTAATTAGTAGGAGAATTAATGGTAACTTAAGAGACCTCCTAAGTCTCACTATCTGTTTAGATATAGAATTCTCTGTACAAGAAGGATAATGCTGCTACTGAATGTCCAGAGTTGTTTACAGCCCGGGTTGACATTAGACCTTTAATATTACCAAGTGCCAGTGAGTAAGAAGCTAAATATTACATAACAAATAATGAGGCATATACAGTTCCCATGCAGGCTGAGGGTGTAGTTCAGTGGCAGAACTCGTGCCTAGCATGCATGAAGCCCTCAGTTAAATCCACAGCTTAAAAAGAAAAAGAAAAAACAAACTCTCGTGTTCTTTTTCCTGCTTAAAAAAATGTAAATAACATAGAGGGTTTTAAAAGCCTATATAAACCCAATGTGCTCTGCTGTCCCCACCCCTAGGGCACACTGAGACAGAGATTGAGACTAGGCTTTGAGGCGCGTGCCTGTAATCCCAGCACTTGGAAGGCTGAAAACAGGAGGATCTCTATGAGTCCTACTGTGTAGTGAGACCCTGTAGTGTAGGCCCTGTACTAAATACATAAAAAAAGCTATGTGAAAATATAGGTACAATTATTTAAAAATTAATCTCTTCCAAAATTGTATGCCTATAATTCCAACTTTCATTGAAAGTTTGAGGCCGGCCTGGTTACAAAGTGAGCTCAAGGCCAGGGTGAACTGCATAGTGGGACCCTATCTCAAAAAGATACACACACAAAAACTGTTAAATGTTTAGTTCACTACTTCATACCAATAAAATTCTTTGCTCCTCTGTATCCCTTTTTATTATATT